GCATTCTCTCTCCACCCCCCGAAGGAAGCCAGCGCGTGCCTCCTCTGGGGCCAGCTCGTGCGTCCCTCAGCGCAGCCAAACCTCCATGTGTGCCTTCCCCGGGGCCAAACCCCCCTCCTGCGGTGCAGCCAAACCACCACGGGCGCCTGCCCCGGGGCCAAACCCCCCTCCCACGGCGCAGCCCGGCCCAGCCAACTCCCTTTCCTCCCACAGCGCGGTCAAACCCCAGGGCCGACTCCTGCGGCACAGGGAAACCCTTGCGCCCAACTCACCCCTCTGGCACCAGCAGCGCAGGGAAGCCTCCGCACTCCTCCTCTAGGGCCAATGCCGCTCCCCCAGCAAGCAACAGAACTGTGGGAGGGGGAGTAGTCCGCGTGATTCCGGAACCCCCGGAAGTGACGCGGGCTTCAGAGAGGGCTTCAGAGAGGACTTCCGTCCACCTAGAGGTAGGTAGTGGGGCTTCTCGGGGGGGGGGGGAAAATGGGGGGTGGGGTTGCCCGAATGCCTCGCAATCGACTGGTCGAGGCCTCGCGATCAACCGTTCGATCACGATCGACGGGTTGGTGACCACGGTCCTAATGACTTAACTAACCAACCTAACAATAGAGGTGCTAATTGTTCTTATCAGCCTCTATCTACTCACTGTGTCTCTTTTTTCCCCTTCATCCTTCCCCCACCCTTCCCTTATTTATTCTTGGATCTGGACTTCTAATATTCCTGTCATCTGAAGAAGTGGGTTGTGCCCACGAAAGCTCATGATACCATCTACATTCTTTGTTAGTCTTTAAGGTGCTACTAGACTATTTGTTGTTTTTTAAGTTTTTCCTGTTACAGACTAACTCAGCTACATCTTTGAAGCTTAGGGCTGTTAATGACAGGAGTGGTCAGAAAACCCTGGTTGCCATTATTAGGATTAGGCAGTTTGCAAGAGTATTCATCCCTCCACTCTTCCAGCCTAGCGGAGTCTGCTGTGAGCGGAGGGCAGCTCCAGCCCAGATGGAGCAGATCCCATCTGCAGCGGGCCTGGTCCAGCATGCCACAAGCAGGGACACTCCAGCCCGGCTGATGCAACCCCGCCCGTAGTGGGCCTGGTCGGGCCGAAGCAGCATGCTGCGGTGGAGGACATCTCCAGTCCACCCCTCTTTAAGCAGTTAACTGTAACTGATTAAACAGGATTTTACAACCCTAATCCACAAGATGAAATTCAATAAGGTACAAAAATATCACATTTATGAAGAACAAATCAAATACACAAACAAAAAATGGGTAATAACTGGCTCAGTGGTTGGTTGTACTGCACAAGAAGATCTAGTCATTTAAATGGCTCAAAAATTGAATGAGTTAAAATGATGAAATTGCAAAAAAAAAAAAAGCTACTACAGGGCATGACCTAACAGTAGTGTCATGTCTTACTCACAAAAAGCAAGATATTTGTCCCAGTCCACTGGCACTGGTGAGGCCTTTAATGGAGTATTATGTCCAGTTTGGGGAACCACACTTTGAGAAAGATGTGGACAAACTGGAGAAAAATCCACAAAAATGAGAGGATAGGACAGAGAAGAGCAAGCAAAATGATAAAATAATTTGAAATACTGACCTATAAACAGATTAAAAACTGAGTATATTTATTCTTGAGAAAATGCAACTAAGGGAGTGAATCTAACGATAGCCTTCAAACACATTAAAAGCTTTCATACAGAGGAAAAGTGATCACTCATTCCCCATGTCTGCTGAAGGCAAGAAAAGAGGAAATCAGCTTAGTCTGCAATAGGTATGTAAGCGACTAGTCAACTATCTGATAAGCAAGTACTTATTAGATAGTCGACTAGTCCCTCGACTAGTCTCTCCCCCACCCTTGCTGTCTTAAAAGACAGTTCTCCCCCAGAACCATCTCTGTGGAGGGCAGAGGGCCCACACCCAGTCCCAAGATGCTGTTCCTCTGCTTTTTAAATGTATTAAAAGCCTGCTGGCTCTTAACACATTTAAAAGGCAGAACTGCAGTGGGGTTTGCCCCAGCAGCTGGGAGCTAATTCTGCTGCAGCTCCCCTGCTTATCAACTAATCAACAGAAATTACATCAACTAGTCAATTAGTTAATTAAACTACAGTTCTGCAACAAGGAAGATGTAGATTAGATTATTTTCCTAATATCTAATATAAGGATAGTTAGGCATTGCAGAGCTTTTATAATTGGAAGATTTTAAGATTAGACTAAACGAATATCTGTTAAAGATGGTCTAGGTATTGTTGGTCCTGCCTCAGCACAGGAGGATGGAACAGATGAACCTTTTCCTTTGAAGCAGGGATGGGCAATAATTTTTTACCGGGGCCCACTTCAGAAATTTGGAGGTGACACTAGAAGGGGCAGGGCCATGATACTTCCCTGCTTCCACATCCACTGACCATGACTGGTCTGGGGGTGAGGGAGCACATGAAGTCTTTGCCCCCCTACAAGTTCCCCTTACTCCATGCCCCTGGCGGCAGAAGGAGACTGTGTACATTCCCCTTTCTCCCACAAGCCAGTCAGAGCATGGGGGAGCACACGAAGTCTTCTCCTTGCAGGGTGGAGGAAACTTTGCACGCTTCCCCTTGCCCCCAGGTCCTGATTGTTCTGTGGGTGGGAGAGCATGCAAGGTCACCTCCCACCCTGCCAGAAGCCCATGGTGCTTAGAAGCTCCTTGCAGGGCAGAGGAAACTTCCTGCACTCTCCTCCCCCTTCCCCTCCTCTGACCCCAGGCCTTACCTGGCCTGGGGGCAGAGGAGCAGCAGGGCCTCCATGGACCAGATTAACTCGCTTGGCGGACAGATCCAGCTGTCAGAGTTCCTTTTGCCCACTTCTGCTTTGCACCCTATATTTTTATGATTCAATATTTAACTTGTAAACCAGAAGGACTAGACTTAGTTATGCACTCTCTTCCTGAGTAGGGATGTTAAATTGCAGGTAACTGACTAATCGAATAACCTATGCATTCTGCATTGACTAGATGACCCGTTGATAGGGCGCCTCCACCTCTGAAGTGTAGAAACAGCCACAGGGCTGTTGCTACACTTTAAAGGCAAACAGGCCACGTGGAGCCCAGGGTCAGTGGATCTCCACCAACACTGCCACTTTGAAATGCCGGGAGGAGCCTGATGACAGGCTTCCGTGGCAGTGCTGCAAGGAGCCTCGGATCAGCTGGGGATTCCCCAACTGATCCCAAACTGCGTGCGGCGCTGCCACTTTGAAATGCTTTGGAGCCCAGCCTCTTGCAGTCCAAGATCAGCTGGGGAGTCCCCAGATGATCCCGGGCTCCACCAGTGCTGCTGCTCTGAAGCACCGGGAGGAGCCTGACGCCGGGCTTCCATGGTGGCATTTCAAAGTGGTAGTGCCAGGCTCCACGCAGGACTGCCGCTTTGTAGTACCTCCTTCTTCTCTCTCCCCCCATCCCCGCCTCTTTCTGATAATGGCAGCAAGGGGGAAGGGGAGAAGACTAGTTGACAAGCTTATCGACTATCTGATAAGCATTTGCATGAGCATAACCTAACTTCCGTGCCTCCAATTTTGTCTAGAAAACTCAGACAAATAGCCATGCAGACAATCAAAAAATTAGATGTCTCAAAAGTTTCATGGAAGGAGAGAGTATCTTCATTATAGACTGCATCAGATTACTACACAGTAGAAGAACATGCAGGGTTCACCTAGAAAAAGGAAAGGAACATTTTATGGATGTTTCATTTTCAAAAATCTAAGTAATAAGAGAAGCTAGGCCCACGTCGAATTTAAAAAAAAAAGTAAGTATAAATTGTACTACTCCAATATTTCACCAATTTTTTTGTTATTATAAAACAGGAGAGAAAATCTAATGTACTATTAAGTTCAGGAAGAGAGTTAACTGTACTATAAAAGGTGCATCTGTTTAAACTTATTTTTTAACGAGATTTTAATCTCATCTAATTAAAAGCAGTGCAAAGGCTTAATGTAGATGCACTCAAGCGAGTGCAAGTCTTATTAAAAAGGGATATTTTATGTCAGTAAGTTAATAAATTGAACTAATTTAAGTAATAATTATGTTTCGGTTTAGCATTTGCACTGATTTAATCAGAATTTAAAATCTTTTTAGTTAAATCAACAATTTATGTTTGTTGGTGAATACACATTTGAAATATTACCTAAAAATTGCAACATGCTGCTGAAGCCATTGTAAATCCATTCAAAAATGAAAGACATGGTTGAAGATTAGTTGCCTGCAAGAAAATAAACATGAGACATTTATCAGTAAAAACTTTATGCCATATCCCAGCAAGATTCAGGCTGTAGTACGAGAGAGGAGTTGACAGGTCCACAAGTAAGTGGTCAATTGACTGGACAAATAATGTTAAGAACAATCAAATATTTTAACACAACATTTTAAATACTTCCCTGCTTCCACATCCACTGACCATGACTGGTCTGGGGGTGAGGGAGCACATGAAGTCTTTGCCCCCCTACAAGTTCCCCTTACTCCATGCCCCTGGCGGCAGAAGGAGACTGTGTACATTCCCCTTTCTCCCACAAGCCAGTCAGAGCATGGGGGAGCACACGAAGTCTTCTCCTTGCAGGGTGGAGGAAACTTTGCACGCTTCCCCTTGCCCCCAGGTCCTGATTGTTCTGTGGGTGGGAGAGCATGCAAGGTCACCTCCCACCCTGCCAGAAGCCCATGGTGCTTAGAAGCTCCTTGCAGGGCAGAGGAAACTTCCTGCACTCTCCTCCCCCTTCCCCTCCTCTGACCCCAGGCCTTACCTGGCCTGGGGGCAGAGGAGCAGCAGGGCCTCCATGGACCAGATTAACTCGCTTGGCGGACAGATCCAGCTGTCAGAGTTCCTTTTGCCCACTTCTGCTTTGCACCCTATATTTTTATGATTCAATATTTAACTTGTAAACCAGAAGGACTAGACTTAGTTATGCACTCTCTTCCTGAGTAGGGATGTTAAATTGCAGGTAACTGACTAATCGAATAACCTATGCATTCTGCATTGACTAGATGACCCGTTGATAGGGCGCCTCCACCTCTGAAGTGTAGAAACAGCCACAGGGCTGTTGCTACACTTTAAAGGCAAACAGGCCACGTGGAGCCCAGGGTCAGTGGATCTCCACCAACACTGCCACTTTGAAATGCCGGGAGGAGCCTGATGACAGGCTTCCGTGGCAGTGCTGCAAGGAGCCTCGGATCAGCTGGGGATTCCCCAACTGATCCCAAACTGCGTGCGGCGCTGCCACTTTGAAATGCTTTGGAGCCCAGCCTCTTGCAGTCCAAGATCAGCTGGGGAGTCCCCAGATGATCCCGGGCTCCACCAGTGCTGCTGCTCTGAAGCACCGGGAGGAGCCTGACGCCGGGCTTCCATGGTGGCATTTCAAAGTGGTAGTGCCAGGCTCCACGCAGGACTGCCGCTTTGTAGTACCTCCTTCTTCTCTCTCCCCCCATCCCCGCCTCTTTCTGATAATGGCAGCAAGGGGGAAGGGGAGAAGACTAGTTGACAAGCTTATCGACTATCTGATAAGCATTTGCATGAGCATAACCTAACTTCCGTGCCTCCAATTTTGTCTAGAAAACTCAGACAAATAGCCATGCAGACAATCAAAAAATTAGATGTCTCAAAAGTTTCATGGAAGGAGAGAGTATCTTCATTATAGACTGCATCAGATTACTACACAGTAGAAGAACATGCAGGGTTCACCTAGAAAAAGGAAAGGAACATTTTATGGATGTTTCATTTTCAAAAATCTAAGTAATAAGAGAAGCTAGGCCCACGTCGAATTTAAAAAAAAAAGTAAGTATAAATTGTACTACTCCAATATTTCACCAATTTTTTTGTTATTATAAAACAGGAGAGAAAATCTAATGTACTATTAAGTTCAGGAAGAGAGTTAACTGTACTATAAAAGGTGCATCTGTTTAAACTTATTTTTTAACGAGATTTTAATCTCATCTAATTAAAAGCAGTGCAAAGGCTTAATGTAGATGCACTCAAGCGAGTGCAAGTCTTATTAAAAAGGGATATTTTATGTCAGTAAGTTAATAAATTGAACTAATTTAAGTAATAATTATGTTTCGGTTTAGCATTTGCACTGATTTAATCAGAATTTAAAATCTTTTTAGTTAAATCAACAATTTATGTTTGTTGGTGAATACACATTTGAAATATTACCTAAAAATTGCAACATGCTGCTGAAGCCATTGTAAATCCATTCAAAAATGAAAGACATGGTTGAAGATTAGTTGCCTGCAAGAAAATAAACATGAGACATTTATCAGTAAAAACTTTATGCCATATCCCAGCAAGATTCAGGCTGTAGTACGAGAGAGGAGTTGACAGGTCCACAAGTAAGTGGTCAATTGACTGGACAAATAATGTTAAGAACAATCAAATATTTTAACACAACATTTTAAAGAACCATAGCAGCAAAAAAAGTAAAACTTCATCGACTCCAACATGTTTACCCTTAGATAGATACACATGACTAATTACACCAACATTACTTAATTGAGTTACTTTATCTCAGAAAAATGTTGATCATCAAGTTAAGAAAGATAGAAAGAAAGACCATGTTGCAGTCATAAAGGTAGACTGCCACCTACATCAGGGTATGCTTGCTATGATTTGACAGTATTTGACTGTGATAAAAAAATAGGTGGTTATTGGAGTGGTCTATTCACAGGTTTACCAAACCAAGTTAATGGTATACTTGCCTCTGCACCAAAAGGCAGAATTCATATTTGTTGTCTAAATGTTATTGGAGTTGAAAGAAGGTTATGGTTCCTATTTTGGATGACGTTAAAGATCCCTGAACATTTTCAAACATTTTCACTTTAGATCAACATGCTCTCTTCTAAAGATGGCATTATCAACTGCAGCTATATGTACCAGTGGGCTACGTCTACATTGGCATGATCTTGCGCAAGAACTCTTTTGCGAAAGAGTTCTTGTGCAAAAACTCTTCCAGAAGAGAGCGTCTACACTGGCATGTGCTTTTGCACAAGAGCATCCTTGCCAGTGTAGATGCTCTCTAGCGCAAGAAAGCTCTGATGGCCATTTTAACCATGGGGCTTTCTTGTGCAAGAAATTTATGTTGCCTGTCTACACTGGCCTCTTGCACAAGAACAGTTGCACAAGAGGGCTTCTTCCTGAGCAGGAGCATCAGAGTTCTCACGCAAGAAGCACTGATTTCATACATGAGAACGTCAATGTACTTGCGAAAGAACTCACAGGCAGCAAGTATTTGCGCAAAAGCGACTGCTTTTGCGCAAGGTCACGGCAATCTAGACACAGCCGTGGAGTTGATGTACTAACAGCCATTCCAGGACATATCCCACTAATGTCTATGTTAACATATAGCTGCTCATTTTTATCTATTTCACTCTTTTAGCTGCTTCCTGAATTATATGTCTGTACCTGCTTCTTTTAGCTATCATGCTCATTACCACACTCTCTTTGGTGCAGTAATAAATTGGATCCGTTTTGGTCACACAATGTAAATAGTTTCTACATATCTGGAAAATCAGAATTCCATTAGACAAGGGGTTCTCACTGCGACCTTCTCCTGACCTCAGAAAGTACTACATAACCATGGGGGAGAGGGGAACCAAGGCCTGAGCCTGCCCAACCCTGGTGTCTTGGAAGAGATGTGCGCATATGTGGGAGGGGGAGCGGGGCGGAACCGAAGCTGAAGCTCAAGTGCTGCAACCCCACCACCCAGAGCTGAAGCCCTTGAGATTGGGCTTCAGCTCCACACTTGGGGCCTCAGCAAATCTAATGGCTGCCTTGGCAACCCCATAATGGGATTGCTACCCAATCTGAGAAATCCCCACATTAGATCAATCTTTATAAAAGTATGGTTGACTCTGAAGTACATAAAAAGTTCACCCTCACATTTCAGTAGCACTCAGAATGAAAGTGAAACACAAATCAGATCCCCAGTCTAGGTTTTATCTCTCCAAAGCTACAATGCAAAACGATCCTTAGGAAAAGATCAAGTATCACAAGGGGACCTGCAAGTTAACCACCCATCCATAATACTTTCATTTGGTTGTCTTTAGTCCAAAGTGGGGCTTGTAAGTCAGCAGTGATTTTTAAGTGCCAATCACAGGAGGAGCATTTTGAAGTTTCAGCTAGTACTGTTTAGGAATGTAAAATTCCGGTTAATCAGTTGACTGGTTAAACATTAGGTTGACATAATATTTAACTGGTTATCTGACTAAGCAGAATCCCAGCTGGGGAATGCTCCAACCTGGCTGGAGCAGCCCTCAGCCCACTGGGCTCCAGCCCCCAACCTCATGCTAGAGTTGGCTGTTGGCTCACAGCCCTGCATTGGGGGCTTCTGCTAGAGCAGTCCTTGACTGCAAGGTGCCTGGGCTCCCTGCAGAGAGAGGCTGCTCCGGACTCAAGATCAGCCCATCTGTGGCAGGGAGGGAGAGGGAGGGAGCTGCTGCAGCCCCCACCAGTTACCTGGAACCAGTAAGCATTATCCATTTAGGGAGATGCTTACTGGTTACCTTTCACATGCCTAGTACTGTTGCCATAAGTAATGTTGTGGCTCAAGGTTAGCCCATCTTACTGACAGTGCCTCAAAAATTAAAGCAACTGCAGGAGGGGCAAATTCTCACATAACTAAATGTAACACAACAAACATAATTCTGAATCACAGGTGCCTGAAGAGGATGTAGAAATCCTGCGTGAATAAATTACTGGTTACCTTTCACATGCCTAGTACTGTTGCCATAAGTAATGTTGTGGCTCAAGGTTAGCCCATCTTACTGACAGTGCCTCAAAAATTAAAGCAACTGCAGGAGGGGCAAATTCTCACATAACTAAATGTAACACAACAAACATAATTCTGAATCACAGGTGCCTGAAGAGGATGTAGAAATCCTGCGTGAATAAACACTAAATGGAGATGGGGTGAAGTATCTGCCACGGGGGCAAAGCTCCCCGGGGCGCCTGCCCGTGTACTCGTCCGCGCCCAGGTCCCTGATTCAAAGGCCCCATGTCCTGGACTGACTGTGAAGGTCCGCCCGCCGCGTGACAGCTCCAGGACACCGGCGGGAGCGGGAACACACT